CGGACAGGGCGAAATACAATTTAATGGGTGGACCACACTGACACTCATTAATGGAGCCAACGACCGGGTGAAAAGCTGGAATAAGAACCTAAATCTCAAAGAAACATCTAACAATTGCAGCTTTTATAGAATTTGGCAGTGGTCCAACCGCGTCTGAATTGAACAATGCTAATCATCAGTGATATTCAGGAACGTAGACGCGAAGATTGATTGATCGCGGTGGGAACTCTTTTCGAAAAAACACGCTCTACTGAGTTGTATATTATTGACTTAAGACGAGAATTTATTCGAAGTATCTAGAGAAGCTATCAGAAGAAAACAGGTCAGTTCAACATGGTACCTTCAGAACAGCGTCAGTGAAGTCTACACTGAGAACGGGAATAAACAGTATCGGTATTTTCTAGAATAGCTGTTATGCTGAAGATTCAGTCGAGGGTATGAAATGGCAGCTTTCACGAACTCGTTGTGGAAATAGGAAATTGTTCAACGATCATCCCATCATTTTGACATTCATGACACAAACAAATGTATACATATATGTGCTCTCGTAAGTATTGTCCCCATATATGCCTCTCACCCTTGAAACTATAGAACTCTTTCACCTTCGTTTGTTGAAAAGGAATAGCCCCATTCTCTCCTTTCAGATCCTTCTCCATTGTTGAAGTAATTTTTCACGGTGCCACTTCCATTTTACACACTGAGCCTCAGCCAACATTCTTGCCCTGACCTTTTACTTTTAGTGCTTGGGAAGGAAACGGGGCTTCAAACTGCAGTCTAGCAGCATGAACCTTCGATCATAAGGTCAATGAAAATTTCTTAGAGAAGAAGAGTAGAGCGAAAAGAAAGATGTGTCATAGGTTCCTGCCTTTGCCTTCAGATGGGTGATACATATGGAATAATGCAGAAACAAATGTGAAGCTGGAGCGGAGGTGGTATGATAGCGGCTGGAGTACTATCACGCACGTATGGTCACGGGTTCGAGTCCCTGATCTTAGGTCGGTCAACCAATTCTTCCATTCTTTGGGGTCGATTAATCCCTTTAGACGGGATTGATCAACGCAAGAAGACTTTAGGGCTTTCATGAAAAGCTGAAATGGAAAAGAAAAGTGGAAGCAAGGCGTTAAATAGCCAGCAATCATGGCCAAAGCTAGTGGAGGAAGATATAGGCCAGTATAGGAAGCCAGCAGAACAGAGTGAAATCGAATATTGCAAGACGGGCAATGGTGCTCTGCAGCGTGACGGAAGGCTTGAGAATGGTCTGGCATAAGTCATTCCGCAAACGAATGCATGCGCGGCGCGTGATGACGTCGTAGCGAGAATTTTGAAGTGCGAAAATATCACCTTCAGAATTTATTCGGAACGTATTCATCCCACGTACTTTCTGCTGTTCAATCATTTCTGAGGGGATTCGAACACTGACCTAATAAGCTACTTGTAAACAGCGAATTCAACAAGAAAACAATTATGAGTTATATTATCCCTCTGCAACTCTTCTGCGCCATAGGCTTTTGAATCAGCAGAGAATTAAAATGTGGCATCTCGCAAGAAGTAAAAAGGAAGAAAGATGTTTCGTTGCTTGTTCAATATGAATATAAAGACAAAGCATTGCTTGGCAGAATGAACAGGAAGAGTCGAGTTTCATGATTTAAATATTTGCGTGATAGAATATTTGTAGTTAAGCAATGAAATACAATCTATCAAAGCGCGAGCCTCGTTTTGCAGCCATTCTACCGCTTTTCTCGGGCCAAATTATTGAGGCGAAAAAACAACATATTGGTTTGTTGTGATCAATATCGTAAACGAATATTCACGCAATCAATGGAATATATGTACGTCCCTTAGGTGGTTTATGTTTGATACTGTACAGAGATTGCACGTAGGAAGCCATTCAAGCTATGTACGTATTTTGGTACAGAAAAAACTTTTTACCAATCTCCTCTCAGTTCTTACAAACCAAAATTTTCTGAGCGCTTCCCTGAAGCTTGACAAAGATGCTTCTGAAGAGTTTTTACTCAAAGATGGAACTAGGAACAAATCGATTAGAAACTTTTGTGAGCTATGAGAACGAGGAAACGTCGAAGTATAACCGACGAAATTTAGCAAACAGTGTTGATGAGGGAAAGCACCACAGGACGTCGACACCACTCCTGCTACAGCGCCAACTGGCGCTGAACCGGATACGAAAGAGAGGGAACCAAAATGAAAACATCGTTTCCACACACGTGCAGGTGGGCCTCACAGCGCTGTCAAATTCAACGCCGTCTGCATGGAATTACCTTAGTGACACTCATATTGTTTTCGCGTTTCTTGCCGCTGCTTACTGGGTATAAAAGTCGCCAAAACAAGTTATCGTAGGTGCAGTTGCGTCGATTGTGCTAGCAATAGCAAAATGTCATGAAATTCTCATTAGTGGGGAGGTTCCGCTACCTGTTGAGAGTTCAATAATTTCAACTCTTCAGTATGTGGTAGCCTGAAGGATGAAATCGTTCAGCGCTGTTCAATCCGTTGGGGTTGTGATCGATTCTATTTGCCTTTGTGTTTTTGAACACGTTCTCAACCCTTTCTATGACTTATGGGGCCAGCTGGTGGAGAAGTCGATGCTCTCATTTTACCTGGCAAGTCTGGTAACGATTGATCGACTCTCAGCGGAAGAAAGGTCTACTGGCCTTGTGTCGCGACGAGGTGCCTTCTGCTTTTTGCATCGTCGTTCCTAGACACCGGCCACGTCAGACCGTGGGAATTCGGGTGCCCAAGGATCCTTAAGGGGACGCGTCGTGCCGAGGAATGCTACACGGTCCTGCTGCGCGCTGGAAAGGGCCAGTTCCCCTGACGTCCAAACCCCAGACTACAAAGTGTCCACGGTACTCTCAGGAATAATCCTCGGCAGCACAAAGGTAATAGAATGCTACCTTTATGATGTACGGGTATAACATGACAAAACTTCAATTGATGGGCAAATAGTGAATGGAATACATATGTATACGCATAAGTACAACAATAACATCGTGACTAACCTGGAGTTAAGACGAGATGTGAGGAGGAGATGAGATTAGATGACCACTGGTCGAGGAAAAGAGAACATGCGACCGTCACCAGCCAGGCTTGATGACATGCGTACGATTACTTTCCCGCATTTTTGGGAATTTCCGCCTTTCGTGATAGTGCGCTACTTGGCACTACTCCTTGCGTTTCCGCCTTTTCATTCATTCAGTGTAACCATCAACTTAAGCAAATAACTTGCTGCTTTCACACCGTTACTAACACATACCGTTTTGATGTTATTTTGAGGAAAGTAGGAGATGTACAAGCAAGCTGGGTAGTACGGGTGTGCTTCGTTTCGCGCGCCCGTCGAATCAGTGGGACATACGATTTGCCCTTGGTCCAAGGCAATCAGATTTGAGAGAGAATAATACTGACTAGTGCAAAACATTCGCTCCACTGGCACTTAGCGGTACTGTAATGTCATCTCGAGGTCGCAGTGGGTTGCGTCGCGCGCGAAGTAGCGGGGTGGACGCGTGGAAAGTACGTTCCCCGGCTAGTGCAGTCATGTCTGATGTAAGTTGCTACAGCGCTAGAAAAGGCTCTCAATCTTTGCAAAACAATGGCACAAAAACAGCTCTTGACTATCCTCCCCAATCGGCTGCAGAGCCTTCAGCTGGACTTATTTGAAGATACTGTTACGATATAAATGTGTTTAAAACGGTGTTCTTTGTTAAGCCCACTTCGAGTCCTTTCGAAGAAATACTATAAAAATTTTCCGGTGGCACAGCAGTATAAGGAGAAGTGCAAGTCACAACTGGAAGAAAGGGATTCATCGAGAATGACTTGAGCACTGCCATTTGATTGCCCCAGTTCTTGTAATTCTGATTGTTTCCTCTCTTTATGTAAACTTCATACCTCTTCGTTTCAGTACACTGAAAATGAGCTCATAGGCTGTTTGTGCTTCTATACAATTGGTCTTCTGAGGGATTTTGCCATTCCTTATACTAGGCTGTTTTAGTTGTCCTTGAACACTGCTAAGTAGATTGATTCCAACCTTTCTTTGATAGAATTCCACATATCATAACGATACCAAAGACCATACCCAACATGAAAGTTGCTAATAATATTAACAAAGAAGCGATATGTGGCAATGCTCATTTGTAATTTGTGGTTGATGTCACTTCCATTAAACGTTGAAGAAAGCAGACAAAAGCATATGCTATCTGAGTGAACATTCTTGGTTAGATGAAAATGGATCAAAAAACGTGGAAAAGCAGTAGTGATGTAAACAACGTAGTTGTCCGAATCAGGTTGGCTGCTAATTTGGTATAATCAGGTGGATGAGGAGGTGGATAGGAAATCGAAGCGACCGGAGAAGATCTTGGGCAGCAACAACCTGAATGACCGCATTACACGAACAGATGCATGAGTATTAACCCATTGAAAGTTTAAATGGTCACTAAGTAAACAGTTACTATGTTAGTTAATGGTCAGTTACCACTGGTTGATTGTACTCCTAAAAGTTTTTGTTAAAACGCAAAAGGTTAAGGTTTTTGACGTCGACCACTTCGACTTTGGGATACATTCAAGGATTTGACTTCCATCCAGGATCTCAGTCCCTCTTAAACGCGTAGTCGATGTGGTCAACGCAGTGACTTGCGGGGGGTGAGTTGATGTAACAAGTCAGCGTCCTATGCTCCCAGACATACAAGGTAATCGATTTTGGGTGAATGGGAGGCTCATTTGGCCTAGGTGGAGACCATGATCTACCAGACCATGCATGTGGCAGTGTGTCTTTTGACATTTCCACCATCTCCGCCAGAATTGTTTTTCTGATGACCTCGTAGGAGCGCAGCGCTGCGTGGGTTTCTTTTTGGTCAATTTTTGTAATCAGTTGCTGCATTCCATCACACATGGTTTTAAGATCATCTTCGCAATACTGTTTCTCAGGGAACAGGTATTAGTGCTATTGTAGGGATCTCTGTGGTTTGTCAGTTGACTCTCATTAGTTTATGAGATTAGCACTTGGACTTTCCTTCGAAAAGCTGTGTCAAAAAACTTTGCCACATTGTTCTCACCGGTCGGACATCCGAGACAGAGAACGATAGGTCCACAAGGACATGCTGCTGAAGTGCACTATGTATCAATCGCAATGATCCTTAACATCTCAAGAAAAGAGACACATTTACCATTATCAGAGTAGGCTGTGAAAATGTCCATATTGCACAGCTTACGGTAACTCTGTTCGCTTCCTATGGATGCTACACCATAGCTATAGACGTAGGTCGAAAACACAGTTATGAGAAGTGCAGCAGTATGCCACATTATGGAAGAGGGAAATGGCATTAAAGACGAAGTGCGACTAGAATTCCATTATAACTGGACGAAGAACAAGACGAATTCGTCGATGATTCAACTGCTCCTTTTGAGTTTCGTACGAATCAACGTTCGATAATCAGTCAGGAGTTGAAAAAGAAGCAATAGCTTTTTATCGACTGCATGCATCACCCCTTGGCAGTACTGTGAGGGCATATGTTTGTGCATTTTGAATGAGACAAAGAGAGCAGAGATGGGTGCTGAACACTGTGGATATGGTGTCACTTGTCCATCCTCAAGCCTCATGTTATTCGCTATTTTTCTCGTTAGAGAATCTGCTGTGGATATATGGTCCTTGACGGACTTTCGTCAACGAATCATTCCACGTGGCTGCCAAGGAATGGCTTTGGGTATACAGGAGAATGTTGCTGAAAGTAGCCGAAACAATATCAAGAGCCTAACGCTGCAAGTGGGATCCTAATGGTCAGATGGTTGTCATGTCGGCTCTCACGAAGAAGGAAAGAGGTGTGCAAACATATGGAACTTTTGCAGAGAGTATCGTCCGCGATTTCTACCCCAAACTCTTCCGTCCTTCCGACATTGTGCCAAGAATAGCCATTTCATGACAAAAACATTTTTCATTGTTGGTACTGCCTCCGTCAATATCCAATGAGAAGAATCAAAAATCATTCTCCTGTTCGAAAGGGCCATTCGTTAAGCTATCCTCAGACGGGACTGATTAACGCCTGAGATTTTGTCCTGTACCTTCTTTCCTCCTTTGCTGTTCAGTCTGTTCGGGAAAATGAATGCGAACTTTGCAATCAAATGATCTAATAAGTCCATATATTTGCACTCGAGCACTTTGTGCAAGATTTGTGAGAGCTTTACAAGTACTATTAAGATAATTAATAGTTATTGACGGAATCTTGATTTTACCAAGTGTTGGCTACTTAAAATGTGCCATGAGAAAAAGACAAATGTTCTACGGTTACTAAGCATCCCGGATGTCACTTGCTGAGCTGTCGCTGATCCTCATCCATTCGCCACTTGCCACACTCTTCAGTTTCTTTCTGCATATGTTCTTCTATTGCGTTTCTGTCAATTGCCAGATCTCTCACATTGACCCTGTCCGGTCTCACATTCGCCTCATTGTTTAATGACAGGTTTCATGATGTTTTTGATCGAAGTGTACCTTCTTGTCCGAGGAAAGATGGTTTGAAGGCTAGCTAAGCACTTTCGACAGATGCAGCTCGTTTTATGCTCTCCTAGCTCGTGGTTTCCTCGAGGGAGATCGGTACGCCCCTGTTTGTGGTAAACACAGACGACCCCTGGAGCGGTGAAGGGGCACCATTGCTGCTAGTGCAAGTGAGCATCATATCCTGGCTTACCCGCTTGTGAGTTGGCGGTCATGGCATCACGATATGTGTCGGTCACCGAGAGAGCTTTAACACGCCATCAATGCGACAGAGGCTTCGTTTTTTTACTTAGGTTTTGAAATTGCTTATACTCATTAAATCTTTTTCATTTCTATCAAATTCTTCGAACCTTCGAATTTTAGTTGCAATCTGGTTTCAGTTCTGAATGATTTTTGTTGTAATCTGGTTCTTAGTTCTGAATGATTCAATTCGATCGCGTTTACTGTCATTCCAAAACCATACCAACAATCGTATTTATCAGCAACTGTAATTGGAGCTGTTATTACAGTGTTTCTCGACGCACAGTATATCCAGTATATCCACTTATATATAATCCACAAGTTTGGTGTGTCTGTTTGTTTGTTTGTTTGT